GTAGATGACAGGTTAATTTGGGTATCCATGCAATTTTTAGTAGCAGTAGGTTCTGAACTATTAGACATTTTATTTTTCTGATGATGCAAGAGAGAAACATGCATTTTTGTCCTTACTTCGAAGTATGGGAAATAACCATGAACAAAATTCTCTCATTAAAATTGCTAATAGAAAAAAATGTTTAGTGAAACACTTTTTTGGCTATAAAAATACTATCTCAATTTTCAGCCTCATGAAGGAAGCTTTTTATTGATGAGGAGTAATATCCATCTGAAATAAAAGTGGCCTACTGTTTTGTGATACTTTGGTCACTAATATGTACCATAATAATCAGTGCCTTACGGGATTGTCAAGATTTGCCCTATACATTAAAAGCTATACTTCATTTGTAAAGGCATATAACTGTAGTCAACTCTTTTGAAAGTGAATAAACTTTTCTCTCTTTTATAGTCCTTTTTCGGTAGAAGGTTCAAAAATATTTGATCCATGTCTGCTCTTAGAACCAATGATTATGAATCTGTCCCAGTGAAGTGTTTGAAAGGTTCAACTATTTATTTTAAGTAGCATTTGCCAATTTTCTTAATTGTGATATGCAGAAAGTTTGGAAACCACATAAAAGCACAAAGGAAAAAAATAATTCTCAAATCACTTGCTTCCCTCAGCTCTTGGCTCCATCACTAAATAACTTCAGAGTATTGTACTTTGATAGTTGTTTTGTCTGTTCTCCATTTTCTTATATTTTCATTAGCCATTCCTTGGTTCTTTATATAATGATCGCTTATAAAATGCTTTCTTGTTTTATCCTTGTAGTGAGATCTGAAAGATGGCCATGTATCTCCTTTCTATTCATGTATTTATTCAACATATATTTGTTAACACCTACTCTATGTGTGAAACACTGCATGGGAATGTATGATTCAGTAGGCAAAGCTCATATCCTTATGGAACTTACTGTTTATGGACAAAGTGCTTGAATTTGGGTTTCAACCTATAAGATCAGGAGCCATGCTTAACTCACTTTCCTATCTATACAACCCAGCATGGGATCTATCAGTATTTTCTATCTGCATGCACAGTAGATATTGGAAGGACACTTACATGTGATGAATAAATAACTACTATTGAACAAGTAGTTGTTTGTCTCTTACCTATATTGCCGTATTCCTAATAGTATGGATAAGAAGATTAGATAAGTAGAATTGAATAAGTAGAATTTGCTTGCCTGTTCGTAAGGGTCTGTGTTGAGGTGTAACATTTGTATCTTAGTTATGAGGTAGCAAACTGTAATTCCATTGTCTCAAAGGTTCCTGTGAAGTCCAAGTAAAGCAATAAATATGCTTTATTAGCAAAGAAAGAAAGAAGGTGGTGGTGGTATTTACATGGAGCTCTTACAGTATTGAGTTATTAAGAGGTAAAACATCTAGTAACCCCAGTCATCTAAAACATGGTTATGTTATTTGAAAAAACCATGGCCTTTAACTCTCAAATATCTGTTACATATGCTTTTTCTAAAAATTAATTAATTAATTAATTAATCTAGCATTGTTGCATTGGGTCTTCGTTGCTGCGCGTGGGCCTTCTCTAGTTGGGGCTAGCGGGGACTACTCTTCGTTACGGTGCACAGGCTTCTCATTGCGGTGGTTTCTCTTGTTGCAGAGCACGGGCTCTAGGCACGTAGGCTTCAGTAGTTGTGGCACATGGGCTCAGTAGTTGTGGCTCACAGGCTCTAGAGAACAGGCTCAGTAGTTGTGGCACACGGGCTTAGTTGCTCCGTGCCATGTGGGGTCTTCCCGGACCAGGGATCGAACCTGTGTCCCCTGCATTGGCAGACGGATTCTTAACCACTGCAAGTCCCATGTTACATATTCTTAATGCACAAATAAATATTTAGCTTTGAGAAAGCATAAGAAAAGATATAAAATGCAGCAGAATATAAGTTCACAGATGATATAGATCCAGTCCCTGGTTCAAAGAGCTTTCAATATTATACATGGAAAGATGATTTCACACACACACACACACAACCTATCTAGAGCCTTCTCCTCACTTTGCATCTGGCTAATGGAATTTATCTTTTACATATCAAGTTAAATGTCACTTTCTTAAAGTTCCCTCAACCTCTAAATTAGGTTCTTCTTGACAGTTTTTCATGGTACTCTGCATTTTTCCCATATAGCACTCATTATATTTATAATTACATTATACTTAGAAATATTTAGTATCTGTCTCCTCACTAGACAATAAATATAAAAAAGGCTCAACACACCTGCAAAGTGTCTGGCTCAGAGTGTGACCTCAATAAGTAGTTACTGCATGCCGTAACTCTAAAATATGAAAGATGGTGGCAGGGAAATGGAGAGAGAAAAACAAAGTGTGATGGGAATGTAGTGGAGAGGGAAAGAGCATGTAATATATGGGCTTGAAAAGGTTCCATGTAAAATTTAAAGAGGACTTTAGAGGTAGTGAATGGTTGCTGAATGTGAAGCTTCAAGGACACACCTGGAGGGGGTGATACAGAAAAGATAGATTGGAAGCACGAATGATCAGAGCCAACATATCCGTTAGACACAGTAGACACTGTGCCCAGAACCCATGATACTCTAAGGGGCCCCCAGAATGTTTTAAATGTTAATTTTTAATCAGGAGGAATGAATGTTACAGTAATGATTCCAATGTATGCCAATATTAGCATAAAATTTAATTTTTAATATTTTTTTATACAGGAAAGAGCCCATGAATACGGCACTGGGGATGGTATTTGTTATACAGTAGATAGGATTTGAGCTGGAATCTGAAAAAGGAATAGAAGATCTAACATTGAAATTCAAGTTGGCCTCACTTAGGGAGATTCCAGATGACAGGCTGGCGAGGTTCTTCAAACTTTGCTTTACCTTCACAGACTTTCTATCAGCTTTTTACTTATAGGAGAGCTTTAGGAAGAGAATTCTTGCAGCAAAGAATTGGATAGGTTGATTTTAGAGGTAGGGTGATCAATCAAGGGCCTTTGCATTAGTTTAGATTATAATAGAAAGAGACAGAAGGGATAGATATTACAAACATCCAGGTATATATTTACCCAGGCATTTTAGATCATATGCAGAAGAGCCATTTTCTCTATAGAAAACTCCCAAAGTCATAATTACACATTTACATTCCCTGTATAAGTTTCATGAGAGGAGAAACCATGTCCATCCTACTGCTGTACCTTAGGGAATTGAACATGGAGATGCTCAAGAAAACAAGAGACTTCGACTCCTGTAGATGTGTTAAAACTATTAGAGCTAGTACTGCATCCTGGCCAAATCATTCTAATCATCAGAGCAAATGCCCAGAGTTCAATGATGTGACAAATGCCTTCCAATTGATTGATGGTTCAGTTATTCTGCAGAGCAAAACTGAAGTAACACCATATACACATACATTAATTATAACTTGTTTTAAAGTTAATTTTAAAGGATTCTTAACTTTTTTCTCAATTGGGGAATCTCTGTCTGTGGTCTGTCACTAAATATATGTTCATAGTCATAACTCATTTTTATATACAGCATTAACTCCTACAGAGAAAGTCATACTGACATGAAACCATGTAATATGCATCGAATACAGTTGTGCTGTATGTAGATTTGTTAGCATTCTCACTAAGTAAATAATTTGTACACGAAGGATGTACCAAGCCTTGTGCTAGAGGAGCAGCACCCTAACAGGAAGGTTAAGGCAGGGCCTTACTAAGGAGAGGTGATGTTTGCGTTCAGTCTTAAAACCGTACGTGCCTGGCAGGTAGACCAAAGCAGAAGAGCGTGTACATTTTTTTTTTTTTTTTTTTTTGCGGTACGCGGGCCTCTCACCGTCGCGGCCTCTCCCGTTGAGGAGCGCAGGCTCAGCGGCCATGGCTCACGGGCCCAGCCGCTCCGCGGCATGTGGGATCTTCCCGGACCGGGGCACGAACCCGTGTCCCCTGCATCGGCAGGTGGACTCTCAACCACTGCGCCAGCAGGGAAGCCCAGCATGTACATTTTAAGAATTATAGCAATTAGGCTTGTATTTAAAAGACTTTGTTAACCTTTTGGAGTGTTCGTTTCCTTATCCATGGGATGTGATGATCATCCTTTGTATCACTGTTCAGCTACTTTTCACGTTTGTTGGGAACATGGAAAAGGAAACAAACATAAAAATCAACACGAAAGTTATGAATCCCTTGATGTTGAAGAGAGGAAATATTCGGTGTATAACACTGATAGTTAAATTAACCACCTGTCTCTATTTTAGAGATTGTCTTTGTTAGAGACAGAGGAATAGACCAAGTGAATCTTTCAGGAGCTTCCAAATTCTGGCTCTCTGATTTCATAACTTGAGAAGTATGAAGAATGATAATGTTGTTAAGTCACTGAGATTGTATTTAATACCTTATAAAGAAACTAAAACTTTTCATAGTATTGAGATTACACCATGCAACCTATGAAAACTTCCTTATTCTGTACCATCATATGAAGACTGAAAGTTGTCAAATATAGTCATTTAACTGGCAATTTTTAGGCTCCCATAAATGTCATTGACAATATTACTGAAATAAATTCAAGATAGGGTTTTCAGAATTGAGCCTCGTTGGCGGTTTGAAAGCAGTTGAATTGTTCTCCCACTTTGCGTTGTAACAATTCTGGGGCTGTATTCAAAACGTTGATATCAAGGTAGGAAATGAGTCTAAGTCAATGTTCCTCTTGAGGTTAAAGGTCTGTTTCTTTCAATCAGTTCAAACTGACAGGCCTCCTGCCATCACCTCCTCCTTAGCCAGGCATACAGGCCCTGGCCGTCAGTGTGAAAACATCTGTTGAATGGATTTATTGATTAGATCGTGTTTTGTTTCTCCCTTTCTCTATTTTTTTTTCCTTCACACCGTTTATTATGTCTCTGACCTGATGAACTTAATTGGTTGCCATGTCGCTCTCAGTGTCTCCCTTAGTGCTTGTCTCATGTTTCTTTCTACTGTGCTCTTCTCTTGGCAGCAGCCCTTCCCGGAGCCGCAGCACGCACGTGCGCTCTCGGTGCACCCAGCTCAGCTGGCTGCGGATGGCATGGACGGATTAGAGAAGCATCGTCTTGTCTCCAGGACTCATTCCTCCCCTGCTGCCTCCATTTTACCTCACCCAGCAATGGACTGCCACCTCCTGCCTGGCTCTGCAACTGGTGAGAATCCCTAAAGACTCTCCCTAATAGGCAGGCTAAATACACCGTTCTTGTAGGATTAAGCGATTTAAATGCTCTGAATAACTCCAAGAGCAGAACACTCCATTTTAACCCAGTGCAACCCAAATTTTTTGAGATAATATTGGCCACAAGACAAACAGCACATCTGATAAATCTTGGGCTTAGTATTAATAGCTTCATAAATTGTTACCGTTCAAGGGCCTGGAAAACACATCAACAGGTGCATGGGTCCCTTTTGGAAACAAAAATCCCTACAACATTCTTTAGCAGTGTTCCTCAATCTCTTCCTTCTAGTAGTCCTGGCCACTAGGAGATTTATGATGCTGGCTTCATTTGAGTCGAAAGAGTGCCCCTCTTCCAGTTTGTTTTTCTTGCTGTTTTGTTGGTGTCCCTGTTTTCTTCTGACTTTGCATACAAATGACTCATAGGAGACAGTGGTGCCAAGGCAAACCTTGTTTAATTCTACATGCATGGGTTCCATTTCCATTTATTATAGCACCGATGGGTGGGCTATTTGACTACCCTCTTCCTTTGCCTACAGCTGTGTTTGATATTTCAGAACCTGGCTACAGAGGAAAACAAACCAGATAATTCCAAGGCCAAAGGAAGGTCAAGTCCGGAACACACACAAAAAAAGGGTGCTGTTCTCTCACAAAGGAGCTGTACCATGAATATCCATGTGGATAAATATTCCTTTAAGTCTGCTGGCCCCTGTTCTTGTTCCATGCACTCAAACTGTGGCTCATCAAATGAAAGATATTCTAGCGCTAAGGGCTCATAACTTGGATGCAGCAAGGGGAGAATTCAGACGTACCTTCCCCCAAAGTCTCTCACAGGTTATCTGATTTATTTTTGAAGCAGTTTTTAGGATTCAGAGTTTGCTTTTGTGGCTTCTGTGACCTCAAGCAACCCTTTGTGCTTGGAAAAGTTAAAATACTTTTTCTGAAATCACGTTCCCAAGCCTTGATATCATCTTTTATTTAAAAATCAATGAATGAAATGGCCAAGTTATTTAACTTTGACAGACATCTTAATACGTATGCATAGGAGCTACTTTTTATAATGTGTTACACCACAAGCCAACATTCCATACTAGGAGCTACAGTCATTATATTTGGATGTATTTCCTTCACCACATTAGCCACTGCCTCTGATCCCTCTATAACTTGGAGCAAAGCAGGCCTGTCCTGGTATCCCAGACGACCCAGGACTGTAGCCCACTGTCAGCAGAAGCTGCTTGGATCAGTCAGGCCTGGTTCTATCCCTGGTCTTCAGAGAATTTTTGCTCAAAGCCAGATACATGATGTAGAGAAATAGTTTTTGTAGGTAGTGAGAACAGCAGCCTTTAAGAATTAGATACTTCTCAATTCTTTATACTGAAAGTGTTTTTTATTCATCCATAAGCTTTCAGAGACACAGACACCCTATTGTAATACAGGTTACATTCACTCAAAATCATTTCCTTAATTTAAAAGTGAGCTTGATTATAAAGTTTTGTGGTGCTGTTTCCATGTGCTCTGCTGTCTACTATTGTAATCCTACTGATAGTTTCTTTTCTTGGTTGAGAGGGGTGACCCTTTCCTGACATGCTGTGGTTTCCTCTACTTTTATATGTTCCTTCCATATGAATGAAGCAAGATCTCTGAATATTAGAATGATCCTACTAGTTTGAGAAAACATGTTGAACAGGGTTTGTAGGCCTTAAAAGAATCAGGTGAAAGGGTGGACTGCAAACCAAATAACATAAGCATGACATAAACATAACCTAATCCTTCAGACTGAAGACTGGGTCATTCCACATGATTAGTTTCTTTCTCATAATGTCAACATCCTAGTATTTATCAGAGTTTATTCCAGACACAAATAGGGAAATCAGCTTGAGTTTATTTTCATTTTTAATGTACGTGATGAGGCACATTTCTTGCCTAAATGAGAGATTATATAAACTTATATTTTAAAAAATACAGGATTTTATACTTAGTAGGTATTCAATAAATTTTAGTTGAATGAACAAATACTAATTTGTAGTATATGTACATGATATATGTACGTATAAATCGTAAACCCTTAGGATTTACTAGTTCAAATTTGAAAACATAGAAAATGAAAGTTACTTTGTAACTATTGTTCTGTAAAGAACGACTAAGTGATTTCAAAGTTACATACTTCAGTAGAGAAGAACCTTCTTATTGTCTTATTTACCTTAAGAATGTTGCCTCCTAACACTTAAAGTAAAAATATTAGATATTTTTTTAAAACAATATATAATTTATGTATCTGTCAATAGCCCCTCCACTGTCATTGGGACTAAAAATATATATTTGATTGGTGACTTTCATTTAGTGCTTTTCCAAATCCAAAGGAAATGAAGTGCACTGTCTTCAATCTGCTCTTCCACATATTATTCTGGCTTTAATTCAAACTTAAATTTCCCCTGTAAGCTACATACTCTTACAATCCACATGATCTCAAAATTCATTTTAGTATTTCTAACGATATTTATTTTAGAGGAGAACTCTTAAGGCTTTCATTTGTGGTATGTTTGAAAACAAAATTTTTAAGCATTAAGTGCGTTTCTTTTGGCTTTTTAATATCTGGTGTAGATACATCAAGAAAAATCAAGTGACATTTAAGTCACTTTGAAGTCACATGTTCTTTGAGAATATTTAGCTTTTTTTTTTGAAAAGGAAGTCATAAATCTTAAATACTCAGTGGTTGTTCCACTAAAAAGTAAGGAAGAGAAAACAAGTTGTAAGGGTAGGCGATTTGCTTAATTTCATTCTCTAAGAGCTATACATTTTGAAACAACTAAAAAGTTACTCAATACTAAACTCACATAATTTTCAAGGCACAACATTCAAACCTTTACCTTCCATGTGATCCTCAACAGTCAACTAGAGTAGCCACACCATCCCCTTTTTGTAAAGAACAAAGCAGTGGTCCAAGGGAAAAATGTGGTCTGAACTCAGTCAGTTGTTGAAAGATGATGTCTCTAGTCCATTTCCTGTGAGAACTTGAATGGACCAAGAAGCAGACTAAGATGCAGCCACTCCCTGGTGGCCCTACAGAGAGCCTGGTTGAGGATATTTCTGGATGGACAAGAAGATGTTGCACCTGCTGTAGTGCTAATGAAGAATGTGTATTGTAGAACCAGGTTGCCACATATTCAAATGAATTTTGTTATATTGGAAAATGAGTAATAATATTCAACTTTTATATCATATTGAATTTAAGAAGTGCTTTTTTCCTTCTATGGAAAGCCAAGGCATGGTGTTTGTATGAGTTCTGATGACTAAGGAAAGGGCAATGTATGTCATTTTCTCTGCCATAGTCTTTCTTTCTACTCAGCTGTTCCTAACAGAGATGAGGCTTGGTCATGGCTCACAACAGACCATTGAGAGTAGATGATATAATTGTGCTAAGTTTATACCAAATGGGATTCATTGACAGAAGAATTTAATGGCAAATAAATTTGATTGGCTTTATCTTCCCCATCACCCAGTACCATTTAAGGTCTTCTTTCTCCCAACATTAGGTTCCTTTACATATTCTGTGAGTAAATTCTTTCTTTGTAACATTATCTTTTTAAGTCAGTGTCTAATGTGAAGTAGAATTATAGTGCTCAAACTAAACCAATGTTTATGAAAGCCATTACAAATAGTTTAGTTAAAAGAATTTTTAAATTGATGTTTAGTGGGTGGCACATTGTGACAGAAAGTGAAATACATTTGAATATTTCAGTGTGAGAATAGCAAAACTGGCCTTTTTTCCTGTTTTTTTTGGTTTGTTTTCGCTTTTTAATTAAAGATATTTTCCCAAGTCAGGCAAACTCCCATTAATCCTTCAGGTTTTAGTTTACGTGTTATTTCCTTCATGAAGCCTTGTTTGGCCAGCTAAATCCAAATTAAATCAATTATGGTCCCTCATAACAAACTGGATTTCTCCCTGAAAGATTGTAATTATTTATTTTGGGGATTGTGTTCAGCTGGGCTCTCTGTGTGGGAAGAGATTGTGTTTTCTCTTCTCTCTAACCCTAGCACATAGGTACATGGCTAGCCCAAGGAGGGTACTCGGTGTATGTACTTACTGTATAATAAACAAATGAATATCCGAATGAAATGAGAGTAAATAGACATGAATTACATGCAGCTACACACAGAAAAGATTATTGGTGCATTAAGTGAAATTTCGGAGTAACACTTATATTTTTTTAATTCAAAAAAATGTTCATTGAAAGTAATTTGGTAAATTTGGAAAACTGTAAAGGAGAATCACCTATTATTCTATCACTCAGAGGTAACCATAAGTAAAATATACATTTATTTATTCCAGTACTTTTTCCTCTTCCTAGGTGCCTCTCTTTAACAGAGTAAAGAAAAGTTATATGTGTGTTTGTGTTCACGTCTGTGTGCACATGTATATCTGTAAATATGTATATGTGTGTGTGTGTAATTGTGTGTGTATGTATATGTGTATGTGCATGTGTTTATGTGTGTGTTTTAAGACCTCTCAGAGTAACTAATGTTACCACCTGTATCAGAATGGAGAGATTAATTTCATTTGGGTAGATAATCAGTTTTGAAGTTACTGTCCTCAAATATATGTGCTTGAAATTTCTCCTGAAAAATTCCTCCAAAATTTGTTTCTCTAATTCTCACTGAAGATGATAAAATAGCTATCTTTTTTATTTAGGAGATTAAATGGACTTGGTCACATATATATTATAACATTTATTAACATAAGTTATAGCATATATTTTTAAAGTATATATTAATATACATTAGTTATACATATATGTATATATATATTTTTTAATTAAAAAAATTGTTTTGGCTTTTCCATGCCTGAGAAAGTCATCCTATTACCTTCATACACACTTGGACACAGACTTATTGGGGCACACTTTTTGTCTGGAAATGTGGTTAAATGCTCAAGTATTTGACATTCAAGAGGAGAAGTCTGAGGTCAGCACTGAGGAG